TATTAGTTTATTTATTTAATTATTTAATTTTTTGTTTATTTATCTTTTCATTCATTTTTGTTGCTCTTGTCCAGAACAAAGATGGCGGCACCAGTGACTCGGAAGCGGAGGAAGAGAAGCTGGAGGAGCTGGAGACGCTGCTCAAAGTTCATGACCCCGAGTTTCAGAAGTAAGGACGCCACAGGAGCTTTCATTGTTACAGTGGTATTGTTTAACACTTTTCAGTCAGTCACACAGCTAGCAGTACAAAATACCCCATCTGGTCACCCAGCCAGGAGAGTGACTGCAACGGACTTCTCGGGCCTGGTGACCAGAACGGGTAATTTTCACACCAGCGCATTATTGCACCGAGTGACCGCAAAGTGTTAAGGCATGGGGGAGGGGGGTGGGGGTGGAGATAGGTGAGATGGTGCTTTCTGTAACTTTTGATAGAATAATTTTGTCTTATGCGTAGCTTTTTTTTAATAGCTAGAATAGATTTGTGGGTTTTTTTTAAAAGTTTTCAATAGCTAGAATAGCTTTGTGATTTTTGCAACTTTGGATAGAATGGCTTTGAGGGTGTCATTTCAGTCCTACTTTATCCTCCTATTGAATTTTTGTTTAACCTTTTTTACTGCGTGTCATTTCACTCACCTGACATTACTGAGAATATTTTTCCTCGTATATGAGACAAAGAAACAAAAGATAGAACAACGTTTGTTGTCCGGGTGAAAAAGGATATGGATGGTAGTGATAATGAAGGGGATGTGAAGGTATTTGGATATTTGGATTGAAGTTTCATTGATTTTGGATATTAAAGAAGAATTTACACATGAAGTCCAACTGCCGAAGAAAATGCTGAAAATTGATTTCTGGGTAGACTCTTTCCTTTTCTAGTGACTGATTGGGAGATTTGGAATGACTTTTGCCTTAACTGTCGATCTATTGCTGTTGTTGGCCTATATTCCGACACATGGTGTGAGAAAGGCAAATGATAACAATGATGTTGATTGATTTGGAGATCAGGTTGTCACGTATCTTGCACTTGACCGATCTCTTCGATTGGCTTTTGCTCTTTGTAGTGAGTTTTGGTGAATTTGGAATTACGTTGTTACTGGCGTCAGTAGCCTTAGTGGTTAGGCCACCGGGCCCTTAATCATTGCACTGTGGGATTGGGGGTTCATGCATCAGCTCAGTCCGACGTTGTGTTCTTGGGAAAGGCACTTTACACGAATTTCCGGCTTGGCTCGGTCCATTAGGTCAGAGATGGACGTTATACTCGTAGGTCCCGCTTCGTAAACAGCCTGATAGTGTTGATAGGGGCGTTAAACCTGTACCATTTCATTATTTGGAATCACACCGAGCCCTTTCCCCTCATAGCATTGTTTTGTTCCACCACCAGAGAAATGGACGTGGGTGGACTGTCGGGCGAGCTGTCCCTGGCTGAGTCGTATCGTCTGCAGCTAGGCATAGAGAGGATCAGGTGAGTTATTGTGTGTGTGTGTGTGTGTGTGTCTGTGTGTGTGTGTGTGTGTGTCCTTCCGCCCCTTCAAGAGGATCAAGTGAGTGCACAACGCAGCTGCACTGGTACTGTTCTTCCTCAACAACAACACCCCGCCCCCCCTGAAGAGCTGGAACATGTCCTTATTTGTAGGTTGTATAGCGGATAGAGCTCCCCGTTGAGTGGTAATTTGAGCTATACAGTAAATGCATTATTTTAGCTGGTTTTCATTGTGTAAATTTGAACAAATATCCCATAGGGCCAGGATAGAACTCCTTGTTGAGTGGGAATTTGTGTTACACAAATACTCTATATTATATTATATTATATTATATTATATTATATTATATTATATTATAATATTATATTTTATGTTATATTATATTTTATTATATTTATATTATATATTATATGGCATGTTTGTGAAATTGTTCTGTATTGCGATGTGTATTCTGTTATTTTTGTATGCATGTATGTATGTATTTATGTTATGTATGTATTTTTAATTATGCGTTTACGTATGTATGTTTGCCATTGTAACTCAAAATTTCCCCCTCGGGGATCAATGAAATGTAACTTATTTCAAATTTACTTTACTTATTTTCATGTAATACCCATAGTGTAAACGTGTCAAAATGCAATGTAAGTAACTCATATGTGTCACGACGGGGTGGGATCAGCCGATCGTCATTTTTAGGAAAGTGGAGCTTTTGGTATCATCTTAAAGCTTGTTCATGGGTCTTGCTTTCAATGAAAAAAATCGCCCATCTATCTTCAATACAAGTCGAGATATTTGCAATTGAAGGAGGTGGGGGTCACCTAGTTTCAGTGGTAAAATTAGCGAGAAAATGGCCGCCAAAGTTGGGTAACTTCAATAGCTTGAGAGCCCTTGAAAACAGAAAAATTACATATTTTGTGCCTTTAATCAACGTTTTTCTGTAAAATTCACTTTGAAATGTGTTCAGATGAACATAAAAGGTGTTGCACCAAAACACACAAAAATTTGATAAAAATTGCCAAACTGACGAAAAATGCCTGTTTCTTCGTTGTCCTTATTTTGACCAGCTCCTGATTTCTCCACGTTGCTTCACATATTATGGTGTTGTTACTATAGTTCTATTGTTGTAACAGGGCGCCGGAACTTTTGTTTCAACCGTCGGTGCTGGGATTGGATCAGGCCGGTCTGGCAGAGACGATGGAGTTCATGTTGAACAGGTTAGAGGCGGAGAAGCAAGACAGGATAGTTCAGGTTTGTTTCCTAACATCAGTTTCAGCTTGCGACTCCCCCCCCCCTCCACACAGGGGCAGTGCCACTGACTAACGTGTTTTTAGGACATTCCCAAAGGGGAGACATTTCTCGTTCTTATACAGTGTAGAATTGTAAATGGGCTGATTCAACAATGTCATGCTCATAATTGTGCCTGATGTACGACAGGGAACTGCTGCTTTTTCTTTCCTTATCCTTACTATTGTCATTTTCCGCTACTTCTTTTGTATGTTTGTCACACTCTTGTGACCCGCTATTTCCGGGGTGCCGTAAAAGTCTAAAACAGACTTTGTGCTGTTGAAGCTAGAGAGATGAGCAGAGTAAGCCTGATTCCCTGTAAAGGCTTCTCTGTTGGCATCCACCCCTTGGCGCTTATATGACCTTATGCAGTTGCGAGCGCCATAAGACCTCTACTAAATAAATTAAAAACAGCTTGCGACCCCAGTGCTTTCTTGTGGTATCTCCTTTTTTTTTAAATATTGAAAATTTGACTTCTTAAGCTCACTGTTTTTTAAAACTGTTTTCACTGTTATTAAAAATGGAGATAGGGCAAGAAAGCACTGGGGTCGGGAGGTTGAGAGGAGGGTTGCGAGTGCTACATTCATTTTGTAGTGACTTATTTCATGAGGCTTAGTTTGGCTAGTTTTGTATATTTTCTTCTTGCCTATTTCAATAAATGGTCATGATGCCGTATTAAAACTACCTTCAATATATCGACGGCTGAGCGCGAGAAGTGACTATATTCACTTGTCTCAGTTTCGAGAAAACGAGTTTGAAATTTTGATGATTTTGAAATCTCTATAATAATGTAGTCAAAAAAGAAACGTCTCATATCTCGATACCGAATCGAGCCACGGCTTAAATATTTACAAAAGTTTACAATCTCACTACCTATATTGATTACTCTATTTCAACCAAAGTGAATATTATAGTCAATTCTTGTGCTGTGTGAGTTTATTAATATTGTGTTACAGGCCAATAGGATAAAAGGAAAAGATTGTTTAACAGTTGAGTAAAAATACTTGGATGCGTGTAAATGGTGTAACGTAAAATGGATGTTCTAATTAATTTTGTCTGAGGCATTTGTCTCTCAAACTTGCACTGAAATGTACACGCTTCTGATGTTCAAACTCCCCTATAAAGATTAAAGTAGACAACAAACATCCCTTGTTCCCTCAAATAAAAACATTAGTCAGAAGTAAAAGACCTAGACTTCTGATCTGTATCAAAGAAAGATACAAAAGGTCATTTTCACCATCGTCCATCAAAATTCTTCCATCTTAACCATCTTGTATAAGTATTCATATGACCTTAGAGCATGCATCAGAATAACATTGAGTTTGTATCTAGCTTAAGATTATTATTGTTTATATTGTTCTGCTCCTTTATATTATGCATGTGATTGTAAGCTTGCGTATGTTTGTATATGTGTGTGTGTGTGTGTGTACACGTGGTGAAACACCAAACCTGTAATGTTAGTCTACACACACGACTGTAAAACTAGAGACGAACACACACGACAGCAGGCATTCTAACAATGAGCCCGGGTGTAGTGTC